TCAGCATGAGGGAGAATTCAAACAAAGATGCCAGTGGTTTGTCTAAAATAGAGAGCCCGTGCTTTACAATTTTTTTTAGGCAGCCCTTAGCAGTATAAGATTCAGCATCATCCTTCTCACTATGATGCCAGGCATCAATGAAGTCCCAAAAATGGTCTTTTTGTTCTTTAGATAGTAATTCACTGCATTAAAAAACAGGAAGCCAATAATAGCTTAGGAAAGGCACCATATATGAAATAAACTATATTTACAAAAGCAGATGAAAATAATTTGCTGATTGCAATCAAGAATTCGAACTCCAAAATTTAACTTATCTAAAGAATAATCATCTCATAAACATGATTCTGCTCTAACCATCATACAATCACAATACTCATAATATATGCTACTTCTTTCTTTAACAAGAAACAAAAGACAAACACAGAATTACAATATAGAAGCCTTCAAATTTGATCAAATGACAGAAAAAGAGATCTCTGAACTCCAAAGCTACAGATGCCCACAAAAACCGCAAAAAAGTACTCCATCTCATCAGCGATAACATTCTCAAAATTCCTCATATTCCTTTCTTCCAATACCACCAAGAAAATTACCATCATAGCACATCTCCCAAGCACTACCCTCCTTCTCTTTCCACCGAAAAAACTTCCAAACTTCCAAACTTCCAAATGGAGAAAATCCAATGTGCATCCAAGTTCCAACACACTTATTTCTCTAACTCAAAAACCACCTCAAATTTCTCGTTATTTAAGACTTTCAGAGGAAGCACTTCGATGTGCTTGTTTTAAGTTATTATGGAACATAAAAGTACATTCAAGACGGTCATCCCCTTCAAGATACAGTAGCTCATTCTGTTGACTCGTATGACAAATAGGACAGACCCAATGCTAGTTTATTAATGAAAGGAATCATTTTTCGGTCATCTAAACAATATCAAATTAAAATTTTATTTCATTTCTACTTATATTAGAATGAAGTGTTCAAATTAGTTTAAAATTGACCATCTCCAACTAAAAATAAATTGAATTTTGCTTTCACATTTCTCTTACGAAAGAAACCCGCTCCGTTTTTTTCACTTCCTACAAAACTTTTACAATTTTGGGATTACATCCCTCATGTCGTTGCCCCTTCCATGGTTTCCAAAACGCACGCCAACTCAATCATCATCTTCCTAATTTGTAAAAGCATCCGCTTCGCAGTAGCGTAAAACAATAACGGTTTCGACATCACCAACAACTTCATAACTCAAACTTTACCGACACAATCAATTCCAGAAGTATCAAAACATAAAATTTCGAAAGAAAGCAGCGTACCCGGCTTCCAGGAGCAATGGAGTACCCGACCACTTGGCCCGAACCGCGGCTTGAACATTCTTGGGCCTCCGATTCTGACCCGAAACTAAACCGATTCCGGACGCTCCCAAACAAACCAGGACGATCATAACACAAAACGCAGATTTAAAACGGATCCTCATTTTGCAGTTACCGAACGAAACAGAACGGGTTCGGATCCTTCAGAAGCATACGGGTGTGGATAGATCCACCATCCACAGAACCAGAAAACGAAGCTCGTCTGGGATTATTTTTGGGTTTTCGGCTGGGGATGGAGAGCGAAGACTGAAGGAGGAGACGACTCTGCTGTGAGTGAGGAGAGTGAGGAGACTGATATATTGCCGGTCTATTGGATGTGCAAGGGTGTTCTGGTAAATCGTGTATTGGTCGCCACGTCATAGGATGATATGTTGTCCTGTGATTGCATGGCCTTTTTTGGAATAAGATTTCAAAGTGTCTGGTATTCAAACAGTACTCCAAGTGTTACAAAATAGAGAGAGTATTCTTCTTGGGTTCTCTTTGTGAGAATTTTAGATATCCTTCAATCACATCCGTTTATTGTACATTGTACGATCAATTTTCGTCAGATACTGTTTATATTTATATTTAAATTTAAATTAAAAAATTACAATGTTTTTTACCATAAATGTACAAACGTGATTTGAAGATCCCAAGATCCTCACAAAGAAGGTCCGGCGAGGATCCTCACTCTATAAAATAGATTAAGAGCTTGGTTGGGAAGTGCTTTAAAATTGCTAAAAGCGTTTTTAGATAAAATATTTTTTGTTCAAATACATTTCAAGTGCTTCATGTAAAAAACATCAGTTATGTTTTTCTTATAAGAAGCATTTCAATTAATTTTCATGATTAACTTGCATTTTTACTAGAAAATGCTTTTTCAAAAGTGATTTCACTCATTTAAAATTATTTTTCAAACGAGTCCTAAGACTTCTGTGTATTGATGAATGGCAAGGACAAGAGCTTGAAACATGTCATTTAACCCAAACAATCACCTCCAGCGGGCCAAATTGAAGGGAAGAGGATCCTGGCCGGATCCCCACATCCTAATCGTTGATCGTATATCGTGCAGTTAGTTTTCGTATTAAACTTGTGTTTAATTTTAAATAAAATAATAATAAATTCTGACCACACAATGCATGATGAATTAGTAAGATGTGAGGATTTCTAGGATCCCCACAATTTGGATCCGAATGGGATCCAAATCCAAATTGAAGGGCCAAGTGGTGGGTCATGTGAAGCCCCCAAAAAATCTGAGCAAGTTAGATATGATTTTGCGCTAGCAAGCAAGATTGACGTCAGCCACGTTTTTTTTTTTTCTGTTGCGTGCATTATACGCGTGAAGTGAGCTCGGCACTTGGACAGACAATTTTTGTTGTCGTGGGGCCCGTTGCAGCAGCTCTACTACCAACAAGCAGTGAGTCATTTCTTCCTTGATGAATCGTTCACACCAGTTCTACATTTTGTCTATGTGGATTGAGGAGAAATAAGGGCTCAGGGGGAAGAGGATTGTAACATACGAGAAGTAAGGGGGTTAACCTCTTTCAAATGTACAACATGGATTCTGGCATGCGATGTAGTTGGATTCTCACGTCGATTCATATGATTATGTGAGACTGTTGAATTTCCAACGGTAGAATTTTTTTTTTTTTAAAGTTACCATTGTGCCACATGTCACGTGTTGGTGCATCAGATTTTAGCTGAGTTGGGAAATCAATGGTCAGGAATAATACAATGGTAAAAAAAATTAAGAATATATTTATTATACTATAAATACTCAACCCTCTTCCTTATTCCCCACTTCACAACTCAACCTTTAGTTTTACTACAAATTTCTATATTTGTTTTCCACTTTCCAAATCCATTCTTTACCAAAAAAAAAAAAAGAGTGAGAAGGCAATTTGGTCGATCAGGACGTTGCTTTGCTTGAGAGGTAGGCACGTGTTATTCATGAAAAGATCACGAAAAATGAGATGAGGGTGCAACAAATGTGAAAAAAGATTCGTACACAATTTGTCAAGCAGATTCAAGGCACATCCAGGATAGAGGAATCTTCGTATTGACAAGAAATCCTCACAAAAGCGGAGGCAATTTATCAAAGTGGCGATAATCTAGCCAATGAGGTAATAGAAAGCACAAATGCGATTTAATCTTCATAACAGCAATACATCATTCACAAGAGCACAAACGTTGAAAAATTGTGAAGCATACTTTAAAATACAAAATTGTGCCATGCGTTGGATGCCCTAGCGCTAAGCATTGTATGTCTTAGGTTGTAGGCTACCGAGAATAATATTGTTTTAATATTGTACTAGTTGTAATGCTATGTTTTGCTTTGTATTAGAAATTAAATTTTTGGAGTTAAACAAGAAGCTTCAGAGTAATGATACACTTACCACATTTTTCATACCATATTTGTATCATCTCTCTAATAAAAGGTAAGGGCCACCAACACATGTGAGTCTTACCTTATTTGGAGATATGATACAAACGTGGTATGGACAATATGGTAAGAGTCAAATTTTTGGGAGTTTTATTTCAAAAAACAAACTTATAAAGTTCACACTTAAACACACTTACAAGACATAGAAATAAAAAATATATATATATGTGAATAGTGATCGCTCTTTCTTTTACCCTTGCCCAACGGATGGAGTTGCACAAAGGCAATTTACATGTCTTGCCCTTGCCTTACACTGGCCCTCCTAAAACGAGTGAACTGCTCTTAAAGATGTAGCTAGGGTTTGGTTTTTATGAACTTGCATACTATTTTTGGGGTTGCTATATGTTGAGGTATTCATCAATTCTCCCTCTCGCAACTTCTAAGGAGTTGTCAATTTCCCCCCTCCCCATCCAAAACTTTAGTTTTAACCGATTACCATCCTAAACTTTTATAATTAGCCAATTTCTCCCCTAAACCTTAATTTTAGCCGATCATCCTCTTGAGCTTCTTGATTAACTCAACTTCTCGATTTGAAGTGGCGGCCAATACATTTTTCATCAAGTTGGAGATTGTTGGAAATAAGAACTCAAAATTTACGGTTTTTTGGTGGAAGTCTACTACCGTATGAAATTTCTAGTTTCTCAATCTGTCATGTCGAGAGCTCAAGTACACTGTCATATCAAACATTGTGTTTTGGTCGCTCAAGTGTGACGTTTCCTGTTTTGGTTTCCTTGGTGTACAAGCCTTTGGAGTACTTATCCTAGTAGGGTTTTGTTAGGGGAATTAGGGTTTAAATCGAGAAATTGTCACCACCTGTAGGGTTTTTGGGTGCTCTCCTTCCTTGAGAGTTTAAAGATATGAAAATTTATAAGTTTGCAAGCTTGTGAGACTGGTTGTGACCGTTTCAGTTGCAACTCGTTACGTCGAACGGCGTGGGCGTCGAAACATATGAGCGTCAATATGTTCTTATGAATGTCCAGTTTCGAATGCTACGTTGATACTACGAGACATGCTCCAACTGCCTCAGTATCGTAAAACATGGTCCAACTGCATCGCTTCAATTGAAGAACACTCGGAGCTTGACTTTCAGTCATGCAGATATTCATGATACATGTATCGCAAATTGGTAGATCACATCACTTACACATACGGATGGGATTCTACGTACGAGTTCCACACGAATGAAAGATATGAAGAGTAATACGTAATTAAATGTGCTAAAAATTTATTGTTATATTCAACTGTCCAGGTGCATTCAGTATATCAGACACTAAACCAATAAACTACATTATAAATTAAATAAAGGAGACGGACGACTATAACAAGCAAGTAAAACTCTTCTTTCAAATCTCAGTACATCAAGTATCCGACAGTCGCATTTTGCGGCAGACTAAATCGGTGTAAAGGACGCGACACTCCTAAACTAACTAGGCTTTGACGGGCTGAGCTCGAGGCCTCCAGAGTCCTAGCCTATACTTGTGAGTGTATTTCAAGATGAGCTTCCTCTGCAAAAGAATCCAGCTATCAAATTTTAAAATACAAGTCCACGTGAAGTAGTGAAATTATTTTCACCATGACATGAACACCAAGTTTGCAACTTTCAAATCCTTGAAATTTATTCCTTTTTTAAAGAAAGGGAGACACGGTTTTCGTTCCACACCCATTAATCAGCAAGACTGAAACTTTAGAGCTGCTAAGTAGGTACTGCAGCTATACATTCCTAATTTACGAGAACTGATAAAAAAAAAACAGATACTTTACTGTGTTAATGCCCAGCTGGTGCTGAATAATACAGTTATTAAACCATACGACGAGTGTTAGACTAAGAGATTGCTTACATGTTTGCAAGGGACACCAAGTTTCTTCAGCCTGAGAGTACGAATGACAAGCAACTTTTGGAAGTCTCCGATCTCAGACTCAAGCTTGGTTACATGGGATTCCACTCCATTGCCAATGCCATTCAAAAACTCTGGGATCCCAACCTTCACTGCAAGAAAAAAAGAATGAAAAAAAAAAAAAAAAACCATGCAAACCCAATTTTGATGTTTCCCACTAAATTAAATCCACTATTCAACAGAGCCTCAATTTCACAGAAGTTCAATTTCCAGGAGTAGAGAACATTTCCTCATAAAAATAGATAGTTACAAAGAAGAGACATTGAATAATAAAACTCAACATTTGACTTGACACTGTTTACATCCCCCAACTTTCCCAGCAACCAGACAACTGTGGCAACACAAGCATAACAAACCTCAGTAACCATTCCTTTTACTGTTTGTGGAGAAGTGACCAGTAAAGTTTTTCACTTCTATATATTTTTTTCGAAAAGAGAAGATTTATTTCAAAAAAAAAGCTGTACATCTAAGTGAACAAGTAATGCACAAGTAATCTATAAGTAAACTAAAACATCAAGACACTGCAGCCTAGCATCCAAGCTAGTATAATGGTCGAGTAGAGGTATATTCCTAAAAATAAGAGATACAAAAGCCCATAACGTTGCTCAATACTTGACCCTTTTCCCACACCTCCACCATTTCCAATCCCCTACAATCTTCAAATACCTGTATGGGTTTAGGGTAGTATAATGGCCGATAGATGTGTATCCTATAAAAACGGAATACAGGAGTCCATAGAGTTCCCGAAACTTGACCTTTTCCCACACCTCCGCCATTTCCAATCCCCCAGCATCTTCAAATATCTGTTGATTCCTTTATGACCAAATACCCCAAATAATAAGCAGCACCAGACGTACCCATTTTTACCACCATCCAGTATTCTAAACTTCTGACTCAACGGCTCCTTCGAAACCACCCAACAAGCATTAATCAAATAAAAAGCATATTTATTTCTATCAAAGCCTAAATTAAAAGCATTACAAAAACTAACCCTAGATTTCTTTTCCCATTTCTTTCCACTTTTTCCGGCATCAAACACCAACATAGCTACTTAACTAGAAATTTTTTTTAACATTTGAACAAGTGCAAATCAACAAATGCACATAACCCAGAAATTTCTTCCCTATCCATTTTCTGGGAGCCAAGAAAAAAATGGAAAACTCGACCAAAATTTGGGGTTACCTAGGTAAGGGTTTGATTTGGTGGAGAATCTGGCCAACCCCGGTGTCGAAAACATTGATCTGGTGTTGAATAGCATTTGCCTTAATGCCATCTTCTGCCTGTGTCGAATAGTAATGTTCAAATTGATGAGTGTATATGGATTTGTGTTTATCCTTATCCAACGTAAATCAAAGTCTATCAAACCTAAAACATTTGCAAACAGAGCAATTCAAAAACTTTCTCGGGAAAGGACCCAGATTTTCCCGAGAAAATTAGACAAGAAAATGGAGTTCAAAATTTCACCTGATACCTTGCTGGCGGAGGGGGAGCCAGAGAAGAGTGAGAGAAGACTGCCAAAGGAGGTGGGAGGGAGACGGCTTTCAGTTGCTGCGGGGAAAGGAAAGGGGTATGTTTGGCAAATTTATTTTATTTTTTCTCTAACATAATAAAATCGGGTGGGTATGTTTAGCAAATAAATTGGTTCAAATAGAGCAACAGTGTACCGGCAAATCATATTCTACCCACCTCATAATTATATTTTTCTTTTTAATTATAAAAATATTTAAAGTGTCAAATGAAATTTTTGAATTGCTAATAATAATTTTTATTTTTATTTAAATTTTTGAATCCATTTTTTGTTTCGTTTGGGGTAAGTCTCAAATTGATCAAACCATTCAAACCGACCAATCTAAACTGTTTTGGTCGGTTTGGTTTGATATTGATCAAGAAAAAGGGTCAATTAAATTTAAAATCATTCGCTTTTATGTCAATTTATTTTTATACTTTTGAAATTGACTAAAACCAAATTGAAACGGACTATATATTTTTTTAATTATCATTATTCTTATTTTACACATGTGAAAATATTATAGATTATTTGAATGTCTAATCGTACGCATATTAACATATTATAGAATGTGTGAGATGTATGGATGTTTAGAAAATTAAAACTCTTGAAATGTTGGATATTTTTTTATTGATGTAAGAGAAATAGGTTTAAAAACACCGAATCAACCGATAATAATAGTTTGGTTTGGGTTTAATGGTGGTATTGATTGAAACTGAATCAAACCGAATCAAACGGACTACAGTGGTTTGTACATTCCCCCTCTGCATATCCTCATCCTCAACAAACTCTCCCACAATTTCAGTTAACATATGGTTACAGTGGTGAGCGTCAATTCCCTGCTACGAAATCGTTCTCGAGAATGTAGAATCAGTTTCATACCAAAGCACAAGCAAACAAGGTGGTGAAGCTCTAGGTTGTCACTTCACTGAGCATAATGTTTCTATGTAAGATTACCGTCCTCACTTGCCGGTGAATTCGGCCGCACCGTCTTCACTTGCCGGTGAATTCAGCCGCCTCAAGGATATCTTGAAGAAGCAAGCAAAGGATGTGGATTTCAAGCTGCACTTGATCGATGCTATGTATGCGATATCAAGGTTACCATGAAACGTGATAGAACGAGAGAATATAAACAACTCCCTTGTGATTGTAAGCTTGAATCAAGGTTACAAGGGAGTTGTTTATATTCTCTCGTTTTCTCACATTTCATGGTAACCTTGATATCGCATACATAGCATCGATCAAGTGCAGCTTGAAATCCACTTCCTTTGCTTGCTTCTTCAAGATATCCTTGAGGGCGTATGTACAACTCACTTGCGATATCAAGGTTACCATAAAACGTGAGAGATTGTAAGCTTGATTCATAAATACTTATCACAACCTTGTGATTGTATGAACTGAGAAGAAGCAACAATCTAAGCCACAACAATTAAAAACAAAAAAAGGCAGCACTGAGCAAAACGAAGCAGCACAATACACAAAACGAACTCCCAAAACAGCCCCCCGTTTGGTGAAAAGAAGGCTCTAGGGCTCCAGCAAATTACCACCGACACTTCAAGAATCATTTACCAGCAAGCACACACCACAGCGTAACAACATACAGACAAATCCTAGTCCGAGAAAGATACGCCCGGCTTTGCGCCTTGCATCAATTGGCAAGGCTGGCGTCATTTATGCCGCCCCAACCTTGCGTCAGCTAGCAAGGCTAATATCAACATGGCGTCAGCTAGCAAGGTTGATGTCAACATGACGTCGGTCATGTTTTTTTATTTTCTTATGTGCATGACGTGTGCATTGCACACGCAAAGGGGAGAGTGAGCCGATATAAATTGCAGCAGTGAGCCCTGTTGCGACAAAAGAGCCCAACGACTCTATGACGTGGCACATCTCAGGCTGTTGGATTTCCAACGATATAAAAGAATTACCATTGTGACATACGACGTGTTCTAGTGCGTTTGATTTTAAATGAGTTTGAAAATCAATGGCAAGGATTAACCCAACAATAAAAATTATAAAACATAGAGAGAAATATGATTTTTTTTGTTTTTTTATAAATACCCAACCATTTTATTATTTTATAAATACTCAACATCTTATTCAAATTAGACAATCATTTAATTTTCAAATAACAAATTTACAAAGCATAAAAATAAAATAAAAATTTTAAAAATTGTGAATAGTATCGCCCTTGCCATTGCCCTTACCCAACGGGTGGAGTTGTACAAGGGCAAGCATCATTTAGAGTAAATAGTAAGGTCCTCTCCAGTGCACATGGCCAATTGTAAAAGTCAAAATTTGAGATTTGAGTCCAATGTTTTTGTCGTCCAGTGCAAAGACTCGATTATAAAATTGAAATATAAGAATACAAGGCTATCTCCCAAAAAACAAGAACAAATGATATTGATGAAGACGCCCCCTTCTATGCCATCGATATCAACTAGTGATTTGTACATATACATATATTTATTAAAACAAGAACAAATGATATTGTAACACAACCAGGAAAAAACTAATCAAACTTAGAAGGGGAGGCATTGGCATAACTATTTTTAAATGAAAACCTCTTATAAAAAGCTATTTTGAAACGAAAATCACTCAGCTCGAACATAGCTAGGTTGTTATTACTTGCTGTAGAAGCAGAAAAAGAGAGATGACCATTTGCTTAAGGCCCCATGGTGGCTGTATGAAATTTGAGAATCTGTCAAAGTCATGCATGATGTAACTGTATGAATCTAATGATATGGAGAGTTGTTGAGAAGAATTAGGACCATCACTAGAACAATGTTTTGGACCATCCATGAAATGCCACATATCCTCTATATGTTATGTTAATATTTGACATTTGATTGATGCTTTTACAATAAGTCCACCAAAAAATTGATCCAACAAATGGAACTATCAACTCTGTTTCGTTTTCAGGAAATGATCATACAGAGCAATACAGAGCAGTGTACAGAGCAATTTAGATAATGACAAACAAGAATATTAATCTAAAAAAAATTAATCAAGAAGTAATCAATTTAGATAATCAACAACTATAAACATGTTTTCTCCATAACCTTGAAAAAAAACTGATTTGAAGTGCTTACCAAACACTTAAAATGCTCCGAATTTTTTTCCATTCCCACTTTTTTAAAAAGTAGCTAAACCAAACCAGGGCTTATAGTCATAAGTTATACTTAATTCTGAATTTTACGTAATCTCTCATTAGTGCTCTCAAAAGTTACAAGTGAGAATTCGACCTTTAGAAGATATTGTTAACCCTAAAATTCATTTAATCACTCTCTAATGCAAACGAGTTAAAAGTTAAAGGTCAAATTTGACTCCGTATCCATTAGATTCAGTGACTTTCACATCCACATTTGGAGTGAAATATGACATTATAACTTGGTAGATGTTATTGACACTTCAAAAACGTCATTGTGCACTCTTCGTAAGTATAATTTTATTTCTAAATATAGAAAGTTTGAAATGCACAACGGAGTTTGAAGATGCTATTTCCAACGCACATAAAAAGTTGGGAGTCAAATACCACTTTTAACCTCAAATTTAACTCAATTTCTCTCCAATGCATTAGAGAAGTTGGAGTTGTATATGACTCCAGAATCAAGTGCAAAGTCATATTTGATTCTACATTTGGCTCCAAGAGTCATATATGTCTTTGCATTTGACTCCAAAAGTTATATTTGACCTCTGAAGAATTGTATTAAATACACATAAGTATTATAGTCAAAACTATTATTTGATTCTTATTTGATGTGGAAATGATATAACATTTGAAGTCAAATTTGATTCCAAAATTGACTTTCTAACTTTAACTTTAAACTATTACACGGATGATTAAGTGAGGACAGTATCGATGAGATTAGTGAAACCCGTCCGTTTCTCTGAAAATTTAACAGAACTTACATGAGTCTCTGAAAATTTAACAAAATTGAGCTCATGTCTTCACAGTATTGAATAATGTCCCATGTTCGAATTCGTGAAAGAAGGGAAACAAATATAAAACAATCGAAACAAAAATGCAGTGGGCGTTCCCACTCTTCAAAACAATTATCGGAGCAGCTCTGGGCCTTCAAGAAACCAGATAGCCGGACAAGATGGTGTAGAACGAAGAATTAGATGATCAAACATAGCCCTTTCGGTTGGAGATGGTCTTACAGTCTGGAATTCAAGACTGGTTAACATAGAGAACCGGCACCAGCCCCGCCATTTTTCCATCCCTGCCAGGGCGTTTCTTCTTCACCTGTAAGGAGTTAAAATGCCATACATTAGCAACTGACATGAATACACTATGTTGTCTCGCTAGCGAGGACGTCAGAGAATGACCCTTCAAAGAGCAACTAGAGAAAAAAGACGTCCAGATGAAAATTATTAAGCGAATTCTACTCTTGACGAGACAAAAAAGAGTAATAATAATACGAAATCAACGTTATCCAAATACATGACATGTAAAAAACACGAACAAGAATTTTCGTTTTCCTTTTGATGTTATTCACTCTGTATACTTACGTAAAACCAGCCATCCACTTCGTACTCAATGTCAATCTCTTCTCCCGCCGTTAAACTTAACTGCAAGTCCGGAAAAAACCGTGTTAATCACCTTCTTGTAAAAGACAGCAATAGTTCATTTTTCAACTTCCGCATCGTTTATCAAGCAGAACACCAGCTGCATGTCAGGAAAGGGAAACTCCATGCTTTAAGGTTAGACTGAATATTGACTTACCTCATCATCTCCACCAGCAGTGAAGTCATAGAGTGCCGTTCCATGCTGAAGATTTCCAGAAGAAATGCGTTCGTCATCATTAGAACCAAAACTCTGGGATCCTCCCCCAGCTAAGGGATTTTCAAATGACTCAAATCTTTGTGTGACAGGTGACGAGTATGGTGGAGGCTCTTCTCTAATCTGCAAAGAATTAGAAGAATTACAGTTATGACGGAATCATAAAATTAAAAAACTAGTTGGAAGAGAGGCAATGAGCACTAACCGGAGAACCTAAACCCTCACCGAATGAGGGACCTCCCGTAGATGGATTGCTATATCTGCTTCCTCCAGACATCTCCTGTTA